TGTGTCAATCCGAGTAGTTGAGGGCATTTAGACCGTTAGAAGGAAATTAAGAACTTAGAGTTCAATAGATTAATTCATTGGTTTTAGGACGTGATTCCTAGATTTAACGTGTTTTGAGTGAACCGAGGGTTCGAGTAGGTCCGCCTCGTGATTTTGGACTTGTCGTTTGGTCGGCGGGGCACGGGAGCCCCGAGCGTCAAACGAGCGAGGCTCGAGTGTAGTTAAAAGTTGAAAAAAATGCTGAGTCTGCTGCTTCTGTCATAACCGCATCTGCGGTTCTAGGACCACAGAAGCGGTACCGCAGATGCGGTCAGGAATCCGCAGAAGCGGTCAGGGGCAGCTCAGGCAAAATCGCAGATGCGATCTTGAGACCGCAGAAGCGGTCCCGCTTAAGCGGCTATTTGACCACAGAAGCGGTCCAGCCAATTTGGGCCAAGACCGCAGAAGCGGCCCAAAACAGCAGAAGCTGTTCCCGCAGAAGCGGTAAATGCTCCGCAGAAGCGGAATTCGCTGGGAGCAGAACCTTCATTTAATACGAACTCAAACCTCATTTTATCATTTTTCACTCTACACTTAGGCGATTTGGGTGCTTCCAAAGAGAGGGTTTCAACACAACTTTGTAAGGTAAGTAATTCCCCTTCATCCTTAGCTTAAACACACGTATATTAGGTAGATTAAACACTAAAAACTAAGTAAAATCAAGGGTTATGGCTAGACCTAGGGCTTTAATAAAACTAAGATTTAATCATGTAATTTGCCACGTAATGAACTAGAAATCATATATTAGTGATCCTTAGGTTATGGAGAGCAATTTCCTTCGAAAAATCTCGGAATCCGGGCACGTGGGCCCGGGGTCGGAATTTAGGAAACTTGTAAAAAGGGTTGGTAAATGGCTTAAATAGCTAGGATTCGATCTTGTAAATTTATATTGGCTAGTTCTTATTTCCTTTAACTAGTTTGTGAACGTTTGGCTCCGAAATGAGGGTTTGGGCTTGTTCTTGATATTGGAAGTGCGCTTCGGAGCGAGGTGAGTCTCCTTTCTAACCTTGTAAGAGGGAAATGTCCCCATAGGTATAATAATTGAATTAGTTGTCCTTGTATCCGGGGGCTACGTACGCACTAGGTGACGAGAGTCCATGCGTAGCAACTATTATGCCAAGTCCGGGTAGTTTAGGACCCATGAGCATGCTTTACGTGATTTTCTAGTATAATTGACTATCTTGAATTTATATGAACTCGTGTGACTAAGAAGAAAGAATTGGAAAATGACCTTAATCCATTGTCTCTTTAAAAGGAAATAATTGGCACTTCTTTGTATAGCCACCCTCATATGCGTATTGATTGTTGTTGTTGCTCGATCATGAGCTTGTTTATATTTGACTGCGTCGCACGGGTGATTCGCGAGCGGGGTGATAGATGCATTTATGGTTCGAGCCGTTCGACCCTCGGCAGTGCACAATTTACTATTTCTATTTTGGATCGGGCCGTACGTTCCTCGGTGGTTATGTGTGTATGATTTATATGACACATTATTGTGATTTAGGCCTCATATTTGCTTTCATGTATATAGGGATACTAGTAATGATAACCTGAAGAAGGAATCCATGTTTTTGCACTTGTAAATTCTTATAATCTGAGTTATTGCTGTTTGTTGTAAATTCTCCTTATTTTATTCGGCCTTAGTAAGTATCAAGTCGACCTCTCGTCTCTACTTCTTCGAGATTAGACGGGATACTTCCTGGGTACATGTTGTTTATGTACTCATGCTACGCTTCTGTACTTAAATGTACAGTGTTTGAGGCAGGTGGATCTGGTTACCACTCTGGTGCGCATTAGCGGGCGGACTTGGGACTTTTACGGTGAGCTGCCTTCCTTCCATGTCGATCCACAGCCGAAGAAGTCTTCTTTTGTATTTATTATTTTCTGTCTATTTGGATCCAGACAGTAGGATAGTGTGATATTCTTTTGGGATGTATATTCTACTAGTTGCCCGTAGCTTGTGACACCAGGTTCTGGCACACACACTTGGTAGACGATTATTTTGGGTGTGTAATTACGTTATTACAGTTTTCGGCTCTTCTGATTTTAAAATTCCAAATTGAGCGTTTGTTTCACATATCCTAATTAAGGGCATCATAAGTGTTTTCGAAATGTTTCCGCAGTTGGCTTGCTTGACAAGGGTGTCAGGCGCCCTCATGACCTATTGTGAAAATGGGTCATGACAACATGGTATCACAATCACTTAATCTTCCTGAGTCTGAACTCATATAGCCATATGAAATCTACTTCACTCCTCAACTAATCAACATGAAAAGACCCTTCAACACACCCATAACTCGGGACTATACATTAATTCAAGATGGAAATCAAGCACCAAATAGTTCTTTCTACACTCCAAGCAGACCCTTTTTGTCACATTCAACCATATGAACACATCTCGAGGTCACATCATACTCATCACGTAGCTATCTAGCCATAAATTCTACGAATAGGGCCACTGCCGGACATATAGATCCAAAAGCACGTGCTCATACAATCAACACCTCCGTGCCCAAACCACAGTCAAAACCCGGCCTCAAGTCCTCCAGACTAGCCCGTCATCAGCATACCAAAATTACATCTCGCACCTCTTCCATGGAATCACAAGCCGTCGATGTACACCTGATACCGAGGGCTCACATGCGCATACGAATGCGTGGAAGGAATTCAAAGAGTCACACTTCAAGCTGAATCAATGACGCGCGATAAGGAAAGAAAGATGGGAAGTATATCCTAAATGTCCTGTTGCCTCTCAAAGATAGATATGGACGTCATCATACCGATCCGCAAGTCTCTACTAGCAGAACATATGAACCTAGAGCTCTGATACCAACTTGATACGACCCAAAATCCACCAGTCGTGATGGCACCTAACCCAACCCGCTAGGTAAGCCAATTAACAATTATCCAGTTTCATTTTACTTAATAAAACAATTAAACAAGAGAATTATCTAAATCTTAAACATTTCCCAATGACTGGTAGTTTAAATTATGAGCTTCTACGAATGGAGTTTACAAAGCAACAATGGAATAATTACACAGTCTGTTTGAAAAGTACATAAATAGAATTTTATAGTCTAAGGCTACCGTGAACAAGAGGCGGCTACAGCAGGAACGCGGGTACGCCTTCAAATCCTGCAAACATTGAACGTAGCAACATCAGCATCCGGAATCTGCACGCACTGTGCAGGAAGTGAAGTATGAGTACAACCGACCCCATGTACTAAAAAAGTAACAAACCTAACCTCAGGTTGAAAGCAGTGACGAGCAAACACAGGATCGGGTCCAAAGCCCAATATTTCCACAACAGTTCATAACAACATAAATGCAAGTATAAAAAGAGATATCCCAAAGTAAAATACTCAACTCGTTCACAGTTCTAGAAAATGGTTATGCTTTTCAAATATCTCAGTGAAAGAAAATCCCATATCTCATACAGAAAATGCCAAAAGTACGAGTAAGTTTGAAAACTGTAATTTTTCAAATATCCTTTCCACAATAAATAAAATATTTCATTTTCTTTCCAAATAACAAGTATAAAGTACCTCTCCATACCTACATATCAATGTGTATAATAAGTCATGAATGACGTGATACTATATAGCATGAGGAAGAATGCATCTCTATGCATGTATGTCATGTATGCATGTGAATGCCATGTATCTCAGAGATGAAATATGTACTCACACTCTTAGAGTACTTAATCGCATTACCTTGCATCCTCTCTTACTAAGCTCAACTAGTAGTAGTACCCGCGCGATGCGCGGTCAATATTAAAAAAATATTTGTCACTTTGTTAATTTTTCGATGTTACATTTGAAATTATCACAATTATTTGATTATCCTATTCTATATAAATAGAATAGATATTGTCTAAATTTTAATAAATAAAATCTCCATTAAATTAAATGGACTTATATAGTCATCAAATAATTTTTTCGGTATGTTTTTTTATTTATTATATTATCCAATATTTAGTATAATTATATTGTTAATAGAAATTATGACACTTGTCATTATAACATTTCTTTGCCTCTCCTATTATATATATATATATATATATATATATATATATATATATATAGAGAGAGAGAGAGAGAGAGAGAGAGAGAGAGAATATATATAGATATAGATTTCTTTGACTCTCCTATTATATTATTATATATTATATTATATATTATTTATATAAATAGATTTTTCGTTTTTTAATTTTAGAATAATTTTAAAACTCCAATTTGAAACTATTCCCCAATATGAATTAGTAATTCATTATTTTATTTAATTTTGTTTTTTATTTTAAAATTATTTTAAAACTCCAACTTGAAACTGCTTCCCGATTTGAATGGGTAAAAACTCAAACTTGAAACTACTCCCACCCAATTTGAATGGGTAGCTATTTTTTATATATTTATTTTTCGTTGTTTTTTTTATCATATTTAATTATACGATATCTATATATTTATTAATCCAAATAAAGTAATCAATTACTATATATATATATATATATAATATATAATATATATATAATATATATATGGTAGTTTTTTATTTTATTTATTATTTTCGTTTTTATATGTATATATATATAAATAGATTTTCGTTTTCTTTATTTCAAAATAATTTTAAAACTCCAATTTGAAAACTACTCCCAATTGAATTGGTAATTCATTATTTTTTTAATTTCGTTTTTTATTTTAAATCTCCAACTTGAAACTACTTCCCGATTTGAATGGGTAGTTTTTCTTCTCTTTTTTCATTTTTTTTATAGGTATTTTTTTTTTGCCTTTTATTTTAAAATAATTTACAAACTCAAACTTGAAACCACTCCCACGAAATTTAAATGGGTAGCTATTTTTTATATATTGATTTTTCTTTTTTTAATTTTATAAGATATCTATATTTATTAAATATATATATATATGTGTGTGTGTGTGTATGAGTGTGTGTGTGTGTGTGTGTGTGTGTGGTGTGGTGTGTGTTGTGTGGTAGTTTTTTTTTATTTTATTATTTTTGTTTTTTATATGTATATATAAATAGATTTTTCGTTTCTTTTAATTTAAAATAATTTTAAAACTCCTATTTGAAACTACTCCCCAATTTGAATTGGTAAATCATTATTTTTTTTACTTTTGATTTTTATTTTAAAATAATTTAAAAACTCCAACTTGAAACTACTTCTCGATTTGAATGGGCAATTTTTCTTCTCTTTTTTTGTTTTTTTTATAGGTTAATTTTTTTTATTTTAAAATAATTTAATAACTCAAACTTGAAACTAACTCCTACCCAATTTGAATGGGTAATATTTTTTATATATTTATTTTTTGTTTTTTTTATATTTAATTATAAGATAATCTATAATTTATAAATCCAAATAAATAACCAATTAATATATATATATATATATAATATATATATATTGTGTGTGTGTGTGTGTGTGTGTGTGTGTGTGTGTGTTAGTTTTTTATTTCATTTTTTTATTTTAAAATAATTTCAAAACTCCAATTTGAAACTACTCCCCAATTTGAATAGGATAATTTTTCATTTTTTTATTTGAAATAATTTTTAAAACTCAATTTGAAACTATTCCCCAATTTGAATTGGTAAATTTCATTATTTTTTAATTTTGTTTTTTTATTTTAAAATAATTTAAAAAACTCAAACTTGAAACTACTCCCACCCAATTTGAATGGATAGTTATTTTTTATATATATTAATTTTTTGTTTTTTAATTATATTTAATTATAAGATATCTATATTTATTAATCCAAATAAAGTAACCAATTAATATATATGGTAGTTTTTTATGTATTTTATTATTTTTGTTTTTTATATGTATTTAAATTCAAAAAATAAGTAACCAATAACTAATTATAAACTAAATAACTAATTAGTAACCAATTATGCCATGTGGCATTTTTTTAGGCTGCCACTTGGCTTAAGGAGAAAGCCCTCTCCTTTTAATAATATATAGATACTCAGCACACTAAATCACTCAACGATGTATAATAACTGATGCAGCGTGCAGCCTGATCCATATATATATATATATAGTCGACTACGCTCACTGGTAGGGTACAAACTCTGGAGGGGCTCCTACAGCCCAAGCGCTATATCGTTGCGACGTGCAGCCTGACCCAATATCGCTGCAGCATGCAGCCCTATATATATATATATATATATATATATATATATATATATATATATATATATATATATATATATATATATATATATATATATATATATATATGTATCCTCACAATTAGTCCATCGGCCTCACTCAGTTCATCACTCTCTCCAGTATCGCTCACGAGCTCAAAATGTCATGAAACTTGCCCGACAACAATGATATGATGCATCAACAATAACAGCTAAGACTGAGATATGATATGAATGCATGAATATGACTGGGTACCAAAAAACAATGGAAATCAGTGAGATGACAGTAATGTGACGACCCAAAGGGTCATCACCTGTTTTCTCTTTCATTTCGTGCTTCCGAGGCCTTGAAAACCTCATTTTTTACTTGCCTCAATTTGCGTGCGCAGTCCGGGCGTGTAGCCAGAAAGCTTAAATATGAATTCTGTGTGAAAAATGATGAATTTTGATATTAATATGATTAAAGTTAACTTTGGTCAACATTTTGGGTAAACGGACCCGGACCCGTGATTGGACGGTCCCGGAGGGTCCGTAGAAAAATATGGGACTCGGACGTATGCCCGAAATCGAAATCCGAAGTCCCGAGCCCGAGAAATGAATTTTTTTGAGAAATTATTTTTCTGAAATTTATATGGAAA